TCACACACTCACACTCACACACACACACACACACACACACACTCAGCCCTGCTGTTGCCTTTAAAGGCTGTAAACCTTTGGACCATTGCATCTTAAACTCCCAGCGTTGATCAGACCATCAGATACTGAAAGTGTGTCAGTATTGATCGCTCTTAAAGGGACAGTTCTCTCAAAATGATCATCCCGTCATCAGTTCATGCCAGTTCAGCCCATACGGACTACATTTATGTCACGGTTTGTTTTGTTCATCATCTGGAACAGAGCAGCGTGAGCGTCGTTTGGGTCTGAAATGAGAGCTAATGAATCACTGGACTGTTCCTGTAACACACAGCTGTCCTTTGTTTGGATAAGGACGGTGTGTGTGGAAACAGACAGCTGTTGCCGTGGGGAACAGTGGCAGTATTATGGTCTGTCGGCGCGAGCAGCAGCTGATTCATGACTGATCAGACGGACACAGAGCTTCAGTCGCTCGTGTTCACGTCTGACACGAATCTCATGCAAATCAGCCTGTGTGTATTCGCTTCATTTGCCTTGCTGAAATGTTTCGCCTGTATTTATTGTGTCACTAACTGCTGCCAAACTGAAAGGAAGATCTTGATCTGAATCGGTCCTGACTGCAAATGATTCAATTTAACTCTTCAGAGTCTCGAGTGGTTTATCATTTTCATCACTGTTATTTCTACATTTATCGTGTTCAGTTATTGTCTCGAGCAGACGAGACGTCTCAGATAATGAGATTATCACCGAGGAATGAGTCTCTGTGGGGCGTTTGGGTTAATTAGACTGACATTTAATGTCCATCAGCAAATATTTTAGCAAAATGTATATTTTACTCAGAATTATTACGCTACTATTCTATTGCACTCCGTCTGTTTAGCAGTGCTCGCTCACTCCTGACAGCAAAATGGATATGTTTGCATGACTTTCTAACATTTACAGATGAAGAATATAACTGTGACATGTCAGTTATGCACTGAAGAACACACAACGTCTCAAATGCATTACACAGCACAGATATATTCGCTGTTTGTCATGGTGGATCGATTAGGTCCATGATCGACATTAAGGGCTGCTTAAGAGTAAGTGTGCACAAATTAGTGAAATTGCATGAACTTAAATAGTCATTTATGGAAAAGCTTTAGCCTGATTGATTTGTTAGGTTATTTCAAGTAAGGTTTAGGACTTTAATCCCCGCTTTTCTAAGCGTCGTTTATGAAACAGGTGTTGTGGTTCGTCAGATACCAATTGCATTTTTACCGATGCAAACATGTTAGAAACGATGCATCGCGATACAAATGCCAACGTGTAGCCGATGCACACTTTTTAAAGTGATGCATCACATCGTTAACTTTTATACCGATGCACCGATGTTTGTGTCTTCCCATCCCTAGTGTGTGTGTGTGTAGAATATGTCATCAAGGACGCATTAAATTGATCAAAAGTGACAGTAAAGACATTTACAATGTAAAGATTTCTATTTCAAATAAATGCTGTTCTTTTGAACTTTCTGTTCAACTCTGAATCCTGAAAATTTAAATGTATCACGGTTTCCACTAAAATATTGTGCAGCACAACTGTGTTCAACATTGCTAATAATCAGAAATGTTTCTTGAGCAGCAAATCAGCATATTAGAATGATTTCTGAAGATCATGTGACACTGAAGACTGGAGTAATGATGCTGAAAATACAGCTGCGCATCACAGAAATAAATTACAGTTTAACAGATATTCACATAGAAAACAGCTGTTTTAAATGGTAATATTTAGAATTTTTTATAGGTTTTTGATCAAATAAATGCAGCTTTGGTGAGCAGTTTTGTGGATAGAGCTGTTGTAGTGTTTCTGACGTGTTTCTCGGTCGCAGGCTCATCTACGCGCCATCGACGTCACACTGATGCATCAGCTGCTGTCCATCAACGAGGGCATCGAGTCGATCCGCTGGGTGATGGAGGAGCGAGGGGGCGGGGCCAGCCGTGAGGGCAGCGTGACGGACAGCTTGTGCAGCCTATCAGACGGCGCGGAGTCTGAGCGCGGCTCCTGCAGCGACGGGCTCGACGGGATCTCGCTGGGCAGTTATCTGGACACGTTCGGGGAGGATGAACCCGAACGCTCCTCGCCCGCAGACCTCTCCAGAGCCGGCATGGACGAGGAGACGCTCACGAAATCTCCTCTACGGCCTCGCGTGGAAACCGACGAGTACTACTGCTTTGGATAGCGCTAACGTGTGCTTGAATAAAGATATCTGACCCGAATCCAAATGGAAAGCATATAATGTGACCCTGGGGCACAAAACCAGTCATAAGGGTCAATTTTTCGAAATTGAGATTTATACATCATCTGAAGCTGAATAAATACGCTCTCCATTGATGTATGGTTTGTTAGGATAGGACAATATTTGGTCGAGATACAACTATTTGAAAATCTGGAATCTGAGGGTGCAAAAAAATCTAAATACTGAGAAAATCATCTTTAAAGTTGTCCAAATGAAGTTCTTAGCAATGCATATTACTAATCAAAAATTAAGTTTAGATATATTTACGGTAGGAAATTTACTAAATAACTTCATGGAACATCTTAATATACTAATGATTTTTGGCATAAAAGAAAAATGTATAATTTTGACCCATACAATGTATTGTTGGCTATTGCTACAAATATACCCCAGCGACTTAAGACTGCTTTTGTGCTGCAGGGACACATATGCTCTTCACGAATTGTTTTAGGAAATCATTATAGTTAAGACTGATAGACTGATTTAGCTCATGCTTCTCGTTCTAAAGTGAACGTTGAAGTTTTTTTTCTAAGTCATCGATGTTTGGGTTTGACTTCAAGTCAAAGTGCAGTAAGTAGCACTGACTTTCTAAACGTCTCTTAAGAGAAGCGGCTTCAAAAACCAGACCGCTCCTTGAACCTGATCGTAAACCGTGCTAATCTGTTCAGCCCTTTGTCTTAAATGTGAGAATCTGTCTCTAGTCGATGGATTGGTGCATTTGCTGCGTTCACACTCACTCAGTCCGGTTTGAAAGCTGAATTCAGTTCAAACACAGTTTAGTGACTATCCACATTCTCCAGGAGTGTCTCCATCAACGGTTTACAATGAAATGGCTTAAACAGAGTCTCGTCGGGTCTTACAAAGTCTTAATGAACATTTTCACGTATCAGGCTTGAAAAGGTCTTAAATCAGAAAGTCTCAAAGTCGTGGCATTAAAGGTTGCACGCACTGCAACACATGAATCCTCAGTGTTGTTGTCTGGTTTTCCAGTACAAATATCCAAACATCCTTAAATCTCGATACATGTACTGGAGATGCAAAATGGAATACTTGGGGAATGAAAACTTGTTTTCCCTTTGAATTGAGCTTCAAAGAAATCCAGTCACAGGCTCTTGAGTTTGACTTCAGTGTTGTGCCGTATTAACTGAAACTAATTGTTGAATAAGAAATCAGACGCTATAGTTTAATTTTAGCGCAGTTCTTCACCGTCTCCGCCTGTCAGAGAAGAAACTTCCACTTGGAGCGAATCTGACATAGACTAGAATGAATGAACGCAAACTTACTCTTAACCTTCTCTTTATTTGATCAAATTATGATCACTCAATACTCCTTAAACCACCTCAGACCTACTCAATATTTTATATTAAAGTGCCCCTGTTATGGGTTATGAAAGGTTCATAGTTTGGCTTTGGGAGTCCCCAACAACAGGTTGACATGCATGCAAGGTCAAAAAACACTTTCATTGTCTTATAATATGTGCATTTATTTTTTACCTTACTTGCTCAACGACTCCCAAACGATTCGTTTAATGATTAATTTTTCCAAACCGCTCCTTTGCGTGAGGCTAATCTGCGATGATTGGTCCGATTGGATCTCGCCTGTAATGCCTGATAAAGCAGCGTTTGTGAACGCAGTGCTGCTTTGTGTACAGCGTTACCCAGGAAACCGCTATTTTAACGCTCCTAAAGCGGCACCTAGTGGCAAAGAATGAATTTGCATTTTTATTCAGGCCAACGCAAAAAGACCAACAAGTGGGCGGGCAATATGCTAATGTCTCATGTTGACGTAAAGATGAAACGGCTTGGGATTCGTTTTAAAAACGACTCGTTTCAATGATTCAGAGTCGACTCTTTTGAGAGACAATAACTTTATACACGATGCACGTTCAGATTTAAAACTTTGCAGGATGTTTTCATTCACTTAGAGCGTGTTACACATGGCATGAAAGGTAATAAAAAAACTAATCCATAATAGGGGCACTTTAAAGTAAAAATGTAATGCTCAAATCAGGGCTGCACGATTATGACAACAATCAAATGTCAACTATACATCGGATTGGTTTCTCTTTAAATAAAAATTTAAAAACATGCATGGTATTATAATATACTAAAACTAAAATTAAAACAATGGAAAAACCCTTAAGATAACATGTAGAAAGAAAAAAAAAAGCATCTTAAGCGTGCAGAATAACATAAATGGACTTTGAACGATTAATTGCTGCTTTGAACGATTATGTAATTGTAATTGCGATTAGAAATTCGATTAATTGTGCAGCCCTAACTCAAATATAATTGCATCTTTAACAGGAAATATTGCTTCAGTTTTCTGACTGAATGAAACATCTTCGCCGCCTTTAACACGGTTTAATGTTGTTAAATGCGTCTGAAGTGTGAACACAGCCGTCGCTCACTGACCATCAGATTGATCAGGTCTGGCTCACATGCTAATGCTAATGCTAACTTGTCAAACTCCTCACACGTTTACATTGACAGCTCTCGGTGCTCTGCTGATGTGTGAACCTACAGGATTTACAGCGATGTTTCCAGCGCTTTTGTGCAATTCCTGCTCATGCCAAAGCTAGTTAACGACTCTAACTGACGTTACATTCAGGTTTGACTCTTCACTGCAATTATGAGATTGTTCTTACGTGAATCTGTGACGTTTTCAAGTGAATTCAGTAACTTTATTTTAACACAGATATGCTATTTTGAGAACTGTAATGTCACAGCAGGTTTTTCCCTGATAGCACATGTACATCTCGGAGACGTCTGCATTACATCTGCGAGACGTATTTTTTATAGTGTTTGCTCATCTGCAATAGGACGTTTCCTATCAGATGTCAAATAGACGTTTAGAAGATGTCTTCAAGATGTTTATGATTTAGAATGCATGTAAAACTGGCATCTTAGAGACGTCTGTCAGATGTTTGCACACAGCAGATGCTTTCCAGATGAAGAGATCTTTAACAGACATATTGCATGGGGTTTTTGCTGTTATTTTGTGTTGGTGATGAAATGGCGTGTTTGCTATTTGTGCTGCTATTTCATTTGTTTCTGTTTGTGTGCTTGATTGTTTGAATACGCCTAATTTATTGTTCATTTTCAACTTTGTTTTTGGGGAAATGTCATACTACATTGTGACTTATTTTGTCTATCTGTATTTTTTTTTAATTACTAAATGTTTTAATGTGAAATAAAACTGCATGATTACAAATGGCTGAGAGAGGAGTTGGAAATAAGCATCACTTTTATGACACAGCACTGAAGAAAATTGATCAAGATGAAGCACAAAGGTTAAAGATGTCCAAAAAAATAATTGAAAGTGCGATGATCACAGTTGTCTCAAGCAATCTAAACGAACAGAGAGACTGGCATTCACACATGCAGTGGCGCTCAGTTCTTCCGTGCACAGAGTCTCATTGATTCACTGCACAAAGAGTCGAGTTCAGACAATGCAACAGATTCATAATCTGCATGACTCCTATTCACGAGCGCTACCCACGCTAACAGAGATAACGACGCGTTTGATGCTGTTTGCATGTGTTTAGCAGACAGATGACGCTATGATAACTCATTTACACAATGTGTGAAACTGTTTCTCCATGAACTTGAGAAAGCCTGGCTAGAACGGTTGAATGTGTTCATTCTTGAAGTAGTTTGAAGTTTGAATAAGTAGTAGCTTTAAAAATTCGAAGTTGGAAATTGTAATTTGGTGCTGTCTGCGTTGCAAAACACATTGCTAGCATGTTTTAGAACTTTGCAAACATGTTTTAACGTTAATAACACGTTTAACTCATTGCTGACATGTCTCAACATTGCTAGCATGTTTTGGCACACTCCTTACATGTATATTAGACTGGGAATATTAGATGTAGAGGAAGCTTACACGAGTCCCAAAGGGGTTCTGAGAGTTCCGATTAGAATTTTTGCAAATTAGTCTTGGCTCATTTGAACATTCTATGGGATTTTTCCCAGTTTTATCACCAGCTCGGCTGCTGCCTGATACTGTAGTCTGATGATTATTTCCATGCACATAAAGAGCTGCATTGATCCAGCATGAATGAGTGAGCAGACGCAGCGGGCGTGCAGAGACATGCTCATGTCACACAATGCCGTCTGAGGCCTTCAGCAAAGAACAAACATGAGATCGTCAATATCAGGGTATGCTCTCTGAACCGCTCGGTCAGGTTTCCCATCATGCCTGAGAAATCCCCATATGATGACAGAACTTCATACTGTATAAACTGAGCCAATCCATCATGTGGAGAACGTAGAAATGTTGTCAAAGCACTCTGTGTGCATGTGAATGGAGAATCTGCGGTTTATTTATAGGCACGTACCTGCTTCTGCGTTCAGTTTTACTGTAATTACACATTAAAGTGGACAGAAATGACTGCAGTTCAGTCCGGCTGTGACACGGGAAGACCAGCTGGATATTTTTACCCAGCAAAATAAACTGTGTAAGAGTCCGTCGTCTGTCTGTCTGCAGAAACACGTCATTCTGCTCGACTGTTCGCTTGCCAATGTTTAACGACAGATTACAGAGTTCTGAAAGAAAAAATAAATAAAATCTTTCTACAGAATTTTCTCTCTACAGGGACTGATTTGGAAGATATCAAAATAGTTCGAAAAATGAAAAATTAACATGAAATAAAAAAAAAGTGTTTATTTTTACTAGGTGTCAGTGCGTAGTACAATACAAATGAAGCACATGATGAGGAAATATAACAAGGAGCTTTTTTTTTTTTTTTTTTTTTCAGCATCTTACGCCATGAGCACCACATTTTACTTCGGCTGTAAACTGTGGATGGCATGTCGAGCTGTTATAAGAGTCAAGCAGAGACTGGAATAAGAAAACCATCATCAGTCCAACAGCTCGTGAACGAGTGTGTTTGCTGCACCCCGGCTCTGACTGTTATGTGTTTATTTTGCAGTTCATTTCAATAGTCCTGCAGCGTGACACGAATTTGCAATCAAAGTGCTGGTGCTTTCCATGGGAATCCAGAAAGTATATATGGGAATGTTTTTAGGAAAATGCTTCTGTTCTCTCTAATTTTACACATGG